GTTTAAACCTCAGCAGAGAAACCCTCTCTGATGTGTTCGGGCGGAAATGAAAGATGATGTCTGCTCGCTAACTTCAAAAGGTTGTCACTTTGTTTTTATGTGATTTGAAGTAGCTGGCAAAGGCAGTATTAGAGCCAAAGCGTAGGACAAAAGATTGAAATGGCTTTTTGTGGCGTAATGCACTCGTCTACAGCGTAAACAGTTCAGAACGGGAGAAAAAAAAAAGCATTGTTGAACTTAATGGTCTGCAGCCTTTTCTTTGCTTTGGCCGTCTCCCGACAGTTTTCATATGAAGAGTCCCCAACATGATAGACTTAGACTTAGACTTCCTTTGTTGTCATTGTACAAAAAACACAAGGTGAATCTTGACAACGAAATGTGGATTACTTGGCTACCAGTGTGACAGAGCTAAGACCTTATTTCTACTTAATAAATATGTTTTCTTCAGTGGGGGAAATAAGTATTTGACCCCTTGCTGATTTTGCAGGTTTGCCCACTTACAAAGAATGCTTATTTTTCCTCATCAGATGGTTATCAATTTTTATAAATTCATATGATGTGATTTTCTGGAATGTTCTTTGGGATTCTGTCTTTCACTGTTAGAATGTACATATGATTAAAGTTATATAAAACAGGATGGAGACTGGAGAGCAGATTAAATCAAATTCTATGTATTAACTAAACACTAATTGAAGAAAAAAATATGTATAGTTATAGATCGTTGCATTCTTTGTAAGTGGGCAAACCTGCAAAATCAGCAAGGGCTCAAATACTTATTTCCCCCACTGTATATCTAGGATCTAGATATATACAGGGTAAGAGCATATATATACATATTATTGCACAGAGTTATTACAAAAGAAACATCAATGAATATTGCACTGAGTTGATTGCAAAAAGAAACAATTGAGTTGAAGACAAAGCTAAACTAAGATGCTAACTAAGAGGTCTGTGTTCAGTATCCGTGGGATGTTTACAGAAACAGACCCCGTGTTTTCTCACACAGTTTAAAGCTCCCGGTGGAAACTTTCTTTCCGTGGGCAGCGATTATCCATCACTCAGCCTGTTAGCGCTGTTCAGGGTTTGGGATCAGGCTCCAGCTCCAGTCCTTCAGCATAATTTCCCTCTGTTTATGACTGAATCCACTGGTGGCTTTATGAGCCCGGTGTGATTAACACAGGAATTCCAGCCTTTCTTCCTGTGGGTCCGTGTCTATCCATAGGAGATAATTATAGCTGTGGCTGGTTGTAAATACAAACTCAGCCGGGGGGTTTTCGAATAAGGAAATAGGACATCATCACAGCTCACCTGGAAAAGGAAATAAACCAGGGCCTAAAATAACAAAAATGTGTAACAGACAAAGGATACAGAGGCTCTTTTTAGATGGAAATTCCAGATCAAAGACAAGACGAAAGCACTAAGTTTGTTAATTAAAAATTACACCTCAATCATTTTAGAATAACCTTTACTTTGATGAATGTTCTTTAAATTTCTGTTCTTAGAGAAATATGATCTCTGTGTTATCTCTGAGTTTAGAAAGTCCATCATTTTAAGAATATTTTCCATGTCTAATTAAGAGATGACACCCAAACATATTCAGCTGTCAGTCATGTAGCAGATAGAGAAAAAGCCAGTTTTATCTCCTTTTCATTGAATAACTTAACTAATTATTTCAGCCATGTTTTTATTTTCTGGGACAGTCCTGTACATGTGTGTATCTGTGTGTATATATATGTGTAGATATATATAAATACTGTACAGTACAGCATCAGGTTGTATGACTGAACCACAGGTGGGTTTAATGAGTCTACCCACTAAATGATCCTCTTTTGCCACCAAAACACTCCTCACAGGCATAGATTGTAAGCTGGGGCTTCATAATTGCAGTTTTCTTTAAAGCTGCTAATGTGTGCGCTCTCATTGTTTCGAGTGCTTACACAGGACTCCACATTGTTTCTTTTAATAGGAGCTGGAGGCAGTCATTTGAAGTATTTGTGAGTTCGGAGTAATTAAAATTACAATGGGGCTTCCCGGTGTGTTGCTGGGTGGGTGGAGGGGAACGCGATGACTTCTCTCCGGTTCCCTGCCCTCTGATTGGTTCATTAGAGATGCATTGGAAACGGGACCTTCCCGGACAATAAGCGGGTTGTGTGAATGTTCCCAATATGTTAATGACACGCCCCCTGTGTTTGCACACAGTCGCAAGCATGCATGAGCTTTTACGCTGATTTATGGACATGTCTGAAGGCATGAATCCACGTTCCACCTACAAGGCCGAATTAACTCGTTTGCTTTCAGTGTGTGTATCTGCTATTGACTGGAGAGTTTGGCCTTTGTCACGACCACTGGTCCTGGTAACAGAGAACCCCAAATGCTCGACAACGAGGCAAACGAAGCGGGCAAGTTTAGAGGGACAATCCGTTTACTGGGTCCAAAAACAGGCAGGGTCAAAACCAGGAGATCAATCATACAGGCAAGCAAATCCGATAAGGGGCAGGCAGGAATACAAGGTCTGAGAAGGGCAAAAGTGAGATCAGAACAGGTAAAAGCGGGAAAGTTTGGCACGAATCTGGCCGGGATCAAGTGGAAATGGAGTGGTATAAATACTGAGGAACCAATGAGCTGGATGTGGAGAACCAGGAGAATATCTGAGAGAATTCATGGCAGGGAATAAGAGCAGGATCTGAAATGACAGCAGAATTAGTGGCCAAAACCAAAACAAACTCAGTGCTAGAGGAACCAGGTTACAGCCTTGGACAGTTGTTTATCATATCTTAGCTTATGTCACAACTCGATCCCTCCGGTCATCAGTGGACTGTGGTCTAGCAGAGCCTTCACCACGCTTAAGACCATCCAGACTGTTTAATGTGTCGTTCCAAGATGGAGGAACCACCTACCAAGCTACCAGAACAGCAGGTCCCTGTCTGTCCTCAGAAACTCAGGAATGGTGGGACATGCACATATATTCTGGTTGTGCCCCTCCATCCAGACTTACTGGAAGGAGGTGACAGAAGTTATTGATAAGGTGTTGGGTTATAGTGTGGATGTGACATTTATTAAAAGTGGCACTGCCACCTAGAGGGTCAATATGTTACTACATACTCTGTCTAGAAGCCTGATATTTACGGACAAGCTTTAGCAGATCGTCCCCCAGCCACTCTCGTTGAAAACATAAAAGACATCTATAGACGTCTTTGGCAGCCAATGAGTTAATAAACACATATCCTCTCTTTTGTCCCTTCTTCTTCTTCTTCTTCTGTGTTTAGCTGGAGATGGACAGGTGGTGCAAATGGACCCGGTCAAGTCCGGTTTCGTGGGCACCCAGGTGGAGCTTAAATGCATCTTCAGCAACAGCAACCCACCGGTGAAGATCTC